AGCTCAGATGGTAGAGCGCTCGCTTAGCATGTGAGAGGTACGGGGATCGATGCCCCGCATCTCCAGGCTTCTTTTTATTTTTTTTTTTATTTTTAATATCCTAACATAAACTAGGAATAATTGTATTTATAAATATCTTTCGTTTCTTAGTGTACTGAACACCATAATCACTATCTTACGATACTTTCGTTTTATTGCTTCTCTTTAAAATGAAAGGTTTATAATATGAATGGACTGTAACTAACTTGCAACTCATACACTTACCTTTGTATAAGTGGCCCCACCGAGCTCAGTAAAAGCAATTAGTAAGAAAGTTGTATTCGTCGTGGAAACTCACTATTTCGAGCATAAAAGATTCTCAGTAAGCGGATGACGACTATTTCTACACTCGCAATTATTTGTAAAGGATGATGTCCAGTGGACCCTAACAACGAACAAAAAATCTTTAAGATTCTACTATGAGATTTTTGTGCCTTCTTTACTCCATGTTTATATCTGCCATAGTCATTTATTCATATCATTCAAGAAGTGACTCTACTTTATCAGAAAAAGTGTATTAAGTATCTACGAGGACGAGGTAAAAAAATCTCGGTCCGATTATAAAAGGTCGTTCCTACAAATCCCTATCAGGTTCACATTTAGTAGTTAGTGCAGTGTTGAATATAAGTCTCAGCTTAAGTGAATTACAGGTTGAAGTGTTAAAGTGTTATGACTGATAAATGGGCTAATAATCTGTCCTAGTTTTTTTTTACCTCATTAGCAGGTGTTTAATTTTGAAGAAAAAACGTTATTCTCTTTTATAATCCAAATGTCTTCACAGCTGTTTTTGATTTGCGTTCGCTCTACCGTTCGTCAGCTAATCGATGGGGAAAATTGCTACTATAGTAATATAATGACTTAATATCTTTTGCTTTTTACTCAGTGTCTACTTCTTTAAGTCAGTTAAGAGGTACAGTAGGAAGGATACGTCAATTTGTCATTATGTTTATGATAGAGATTTTCGATTATGTCGTTTTTAATTTTTTCTCACAAAGAGTTACTAGATTTTGTAGACAACACGTGTCACTTAGAGAGCTGCCAACCTAAGAAGAAGGTAAACCCTTCCACTCTTTCGGATAAGCCCACTCAATTTCAATTAGAGAGAGAGAGAGAGAGTGGTTTAACTTTTGATGTAAATGTTTACAGACGCAGTATGGCTATATTAAATCATTGGCCGTTGCCAGGAAACTTCGATATATTTACGTCAACGAGCGAATAATTAATCTTTCTTACTGTTTCACTTTTTCCGAGTTGGCATAGTACTTATGATTGGAGAAAAATTTCTTATTAGTATGAAGTCTGCTAACGTCTCCGGAACATCAGTCAATGGCAGATGTTTTCTTTATGCATGTAGCAAGCACTTCATTCACTTTAGTCATTCTTCAATAACAGATATTATTGTCATATATTAAACTCGTCGATTTAGTTATAAAGATTGAAATAATATAAAAAGATACAAAGTTCGAAATCTAATGGATATCTTGCTAGCGGACAATTGTTAAGCAATGTTTTCGCGAGCAAGATTCCGACAGAGTTAATATGACGAAATTTGCGGGAAATACTTCCCGTGGAAAAAATTGTAAGTTGATATGATGAACCTTCTGTAAATTAATTTGTTTCAACCAAGTCGAGTTCGTTGTTCGTTGTTGTTGAGGGAAAGCCTATGTTTCCGAAAAAGAATTCGATTATTAAAAAACGGAATGCTATTGAAGTTTTAGCTGTTCAGCTTTTTAAAAAGGGGAATAAAAAAATTTCAGCGGATGGTTCTTAAATCGCATAACATTCGTAACATTAAACGGCCGAAGCCATACCACGGCCTAGGTAAGAGATAACGATAAGTGAAACAAATATCGTGATATTTGCTTCAGGATCATTTTGATCAAGGCGATAATTAACGCATCGCAGACTTTTTTAATCATTTCTAGTGTTTGTGATGGAACGCAGCATGCAAATGGATTGCTCGTTTCTTCTCTGCAAATTTCGTTGTTGAAGGTGTGCCGCGCTATGGTTGATCAATCGTGGATAAATTCTTTGAGCATGACATCAACGCGAGTAAACCTCGATGTAATTTTTATTCCAATTGAATAAACAGTAAAAAGGAATTGGATTCCACTTAGGTTTGCAAATCGCGTGGGAAATGGCATCAGGATATACGTCAAAAGTCTGTGAAAATGTTTTCGAATATTGACAGCAAACGTCAGATAGTTTTTCCTTTACATAAAAAAAAAAAATAGATAAACACTTTTTGAAACCCTTTAACTAATTGTTGTTGGAGTGTTGTTGAAGTTAAGCTTGAGAGCGTGCTTTGCCTGGTAAAGGAGAAAACTAAAAGGGAGAGAGAGAGAGAAAGAGAGCGAGAATGGAATGATTTTTCTTGTTTTTGATTGGAAGCGAGATAAGAGTTATCTTGAATCAGAAACAAATTTATGTTCCGCGTACACAAGCATATTAGATAAGTTAAAAAGTTTTAAGACTGTCAAGCACAGCACAAGTTATGTCGTGATATACGTTCTACTTTAGCTGGACATCTCAGTCGAAGAAAGTTTATCCCTAAGTTATAAAATAATACGTTGTGTTTTATTAGAATTCGGTGCCGCCAAGAGCAAACTTACTGTCAATGTAAGCGTCTTGCTAAGTGAACAAACGAATGACTTGCGAATTTCGAATATTTTTTTGCTAACAAGTGTCGAAGAGTAAAAAACAAAAGGAATATTGTGATCGTACGCGGGAATCTCAATGATAATCTATATCTCTCGACTATCTGCAATCATTACACAAGGAGCGATATATGTAGGGATATGTTAACTGTGGCGTAAATTTAGAGATTAAATACCATCTGTATTTACAAGGCATCCAATACAAGCAATTTATCGGTCATTCTGCACAAAGGCTCAAACAAGACTTGAAAGCGATTTAAACCTGAAGATTCGAATCATTCCTTATCCTAATCACTATCGAGAACTATGAAATATACTCATCGCAAAGAAATTCTTACGGACATGAAAGCGACAGATGATAGTTAAAATTTGTCGATTAGGGGCCGATCTCGGGAACTCGGTCATTTGTGCTCTCAAATTTTGAACTATTCCGAAAAAAAGTTGCTGACCTTACAAACAGTTACGGACGTATTCGAGCTACCCAAAACGAAGAGTACGTCCGTTAATGATTAACTAAGAGCACATAGATGAAATGTCAAATTTTTGCTTACTTTAGTTTTTTTTTGACGATCGATGGACGAATATTGGGGTAGATGTGTGTTAAGAGAACTAATAAGTTTTAATAATATCTTGATGCTTAGTTCTGTGAGTGTTACGAACTGAATGAAAAAATTAATGTAAATCCATTTACTAGCTGACAGCGTAGTAATAAATAAAAGATAAAAACCGTTATGAAAATTATTATGGTGTTTGCGCGCGCAAAATGCTTGAATGTTTCAATTAGTTCTACTTAGTATCTCGAAAGCGATAGTTAGAAATGAAATCAAATTTATAATTATGTAAAATGTATTTACTGCAAAGTGTTTACAAAGGAAAATATTTATTTATTCGACTTTACAGAAAGTAATTATACCCGTGACGTTTCCCTATTTCTTACTATGGGTGATGAAAGTCCACAACCATTTCGTCGTGAACGCAACTTAAGCAATCGAAATTTTGCTAAACGTAACTCAATTCATCATCAATTTACTAACGGTAATCTTAGTTCATCAAACAACTCGTTTGATAGACGTAAGCTAATAAAATCTAATAAATGTGAAGCGAAAGAAATTAACTCAATTATTAACCACAAGTCTGCAAACAATATGGCTGCAATCGATATTGAGATTGATGATGACGATGATGATAAACGCATTGAGGTCGAGCGTTTAGCTAGTGAAGGCGAAACAACAGACCCAGCCTTATTGGGAGTACGTCAAAAAGTATTAAGATTTGAACATTTTCAAACGGATGAATGCAAATTAATAAAAAATTATAAAACTAATCTAATTAGTGATCGTGTGAATAGAATAAGAATTTTTGATAATAGTAATGATAATCAGTGCATTTTACCTACGATGGGTGCAGAATTAAGTAAAGAATTATTTGCTTCACAAAATGTAAGCAAAGAGAAATCTCCCGATACTGTGGACGGTGATAATGTTGCAAGTAATGAAAAGACAAAAAAGCGCAAAGAATCAAAATTTTATTACAAATGTGAACAAATTGTAGCTGAAACGAGTAAAGAGGTTCCCAAAGAGTTCGATAACAACATACAAGATAGAAGCCTACCGGTCGACTTGAATAGTTATGTCTCGGCTGTAAATATTTCGCTGTTAACGCCTCCATTTAAACATTCCATAAGTCATAGTGCCGAACAATTACTGGAAGAAACGGCTGCAGAGACAAATCAAGATTTTGTTAGGTAAGTTGAAATCGAAATTAATTGAAAATGAACAACATATTTAATCGCGTATACATATATATGCCTATAATGAGAAGTGTGACAGATTTCGATGACAATATGATACGTACTTAATTACTGTTTTAGTTCTTAACACTTGTCAAGTATGACTAATCATTTATTTTTATATGAAAAATATCTCTTCTTTTTCATAATAAAAGCAAAAAAAAAATGTTTCTATTTTAAAATCATGCGAAGAGTTTATGACCGATTCACAGAGCATATTAACATAAAACAGTGTCTGCTTACTTACAATTGAACCCCTTTTCTCATTTCATGCTTCTCTTTTCTTTTTTCACATTCTCTCTCTTACTTTCATCTCTTTCTATATTTCCTCTTTCTGATAAGTAATCTTCCGATTTCATAAACAAACTTAACGCAAGGAAAAGAAGTAACGTTTACGGTTTAAGGCTTGACTAAATGCCTTATTGCATTTTCAATAAGTCGGACAGGGAATACTTGATCTTCCATTTGTTCTCTCAACCTCATCCTATCATATCTCACCACACAGAAGCGAAGCTGTCAATAACCGCCAAAATGGTATATGAAACGATTTCAATTTTTTTTACCAAGTGTTGAATTATTCGCTGCTTGAAATGATAATAAAATAAGTAGGAACATAACATACCCTATGCCACATCGCCTAGTACAGTTATTCGCTCAGTTTGGTGATAATATACCAAAAACTACGCATTATTTTCATGCAAAGCCTTAATTTCTATGAAAGCCCGCATATTGGAATTGAATGGTTTGGCAAATGGATTTTCTCCTCATAAAAGAGTCTGCGTTTCTTGATCGCCTTTATTAGTTGGGTTAAACTAGACCTATGTGATTCGAATTTCCTACCGTTAATTTTATTTGTTGAAATACTCCTATGAATTATTAACGGAGTGGGGGAAAAAATAGACACCTGTCGTTCAAATTAGGTCCACTTAATTTTTTTATTTAATTACTGTTACGAATAAATTTTCAGCACAGCAAAATTAGCAATTACGCTTTTTCGTAAGATAAGCGTTTACGTTTCATGAGAATTCTTATATGCGGTGGTATCTAAAAAATAGAGCTACGTGGCCCAAATGGGGTAAGGTAGATTTCTTTGTTAATTTACTCAATATGCGCCAATTTTCACCATCAAATATTGGAAATGCGATCTTTTCAGCGTATAAAGCTTTAGTTTCCGCAACCGGTCCAAAGTTTTCACACCAATTTAGACTGCTGGAATATTACTATTTAGTCACTTTTGCTCAGAAATTTGCAGAATTGCAATTTTTTTCCATATAACGAGTTTTCACAAAAGGACGTTATGGTGGACCGATCCGAACCATTTTCAATATTTTTCGCCCTCTGCCCAAGGTACGTCATTGTGCCAAATTTCATCAAAATTTTGCAAATATTGTGATCTTGAACTCAAAAACACATAGGCAGATATCAGACGGACGGACAGACAGGCAGATTGACGAACAGAGAAGCTTCCGATTCGATCGTTATAATAAAATATGGATCGACCATAAGTCCTTCGTTACATAGGCTCCCATTAAGTTACTACAACTTGTAACACAAGTGAAGGTGTAGGATATCAAAATAGTAATTTGAAGGTTACCGCTTCAAAACTTTCGCTAAAGGAGAAGCGTAATTTTATTCGAGATTTGAACCGTTTGCAATGTCGCTGAAATGTTTGATAGCCATGAAGGATACACTTAAGATAATTTAATATATCAAAATATGTAAGAAAGTTATATTTGCCTAAAGCCGAATCCCGCGCACCAACCACTATTAAGGTCTTTAGCGCCTTATGTTTTATTTTATTGCGATAAAAGAGTGAATAGGATAAAACTTCCTACCTTGGTGTTCGCCTTTCTTTTTACTATTATGAAATTAAACTTACTTTTGAAATATTTCAATCTGTCTGTCTGCGCAACTGTGTAGTATTTGTGGTCAACTTCCTCCAGTTAGTGAAAATAAAGATATCGCTTATAAATTTGGAAGTGACTTACACTTTTCTAAGGACACGCCCACAACGCCCCCACGCTTATGCTGCAAAAACTTTTTGAAAATAGAAAAAATCAGCCGCGCCCACTTCATTTTATAAAACATGAAAGTTTAACTCTTTCACTTTTTTTTTGTCGTTTTTAGCATAACGTTGACGGGTATAAGAGATTCGATCATGACCGAATATAATTTTCTTAATTGTCCTTTGAACATCTTTTATGGTTTTTAATTTTTTTAATATATTTTTTCAGAAATTATCGTTCTAACGTGAGACCAAAGACTGAAATTATACATTTAACCACACCACGCCTAACCGAAGCCCAAAAATCTAGTTCTTTATGTAATAAAATAGGGTAAGTCAAACGATATATTATTTTTATTTAAACATGAGTATTTGAAAACACTTTGCCTCAAATAAATGTGAAGTCCATTATTTAGGCGGGCTTTATCGAGCTTTGTTTTCAATAATCAATCCTTTTCTCGTGTGTATGATATTCTTAAGATCACATGAAGAGTTCTTTCACAAATGCCCTCAAATTAGAACGCAGTAAAAATGGTTCTTTATGAAGAACGCCCCGTAAACCGTAGCGAAGTAAAGATGTCCGCTTGAAAAAATTCCCCTTCTATAAATAAAATTTTGAAAGTACCTTTCGATATAAACATTTTATAAAAAATTTTCAAAGATGAGTTTTCCCTGATTGATTTCACTTACTCAGGCTACAGCATGTACCATGGAAATTAATTCCTATTTCTGTTGATAAATTTCTCAATAGGGATGATATGATTTCCCCGTGAACTTACGGCCATTTTTTCTATACCAAAATCGTGCTATCTTGGGTTTGAACAAAAATAGAAAAAAATATATGGGTCAACAACGATGTAATCGTTTACGTATTGAAGTATTTAGTGGGCTTTTGATAATTTACGAATCTTATCGCCATAGTGTTACGAGTTGTTTTATGCGCATTTTCCTTACACGATTTTTGTATGCCAACAAGGCAAAGGAATCTTCGTCCAGGCAAGTGTTGCTGGCAATTGAATGTCGTCGATTCCAAGACGTTCTTAATTGAGTCAAACTTGATGAAGGATTTGAGCGAAAAATTAAAGCCAGTGTATCATCGTATCATAATTGGTTGATTTTTCCTTGAAGCAAATTATTTTCTTAGATAAGAGTTTGTTTCCATATCAGTGTCCTGGCATCAGTCAATCCTTGGCGTATTCATAAGATACTTTTGGATTCCAGAAAAGTGAACCTTTGGTGTGACATTAGAGCTGGTAGCATCATCCGTGAGTGGTGTTGCATTTACCATGCATGGAGAGTGGTATAAACCGATACTGATGATATTTTCATATTCCAAATGGTGATCTAGACAGTATCTATCTTTAACAAGAGAAAGCTACGTACCCTCCAGCATTCTAGATAATAGTATTATTCCGTGATAAGTTTACTAATTGGGAATAATTTCAAGGAGATCCGATATCGAATCCAAGAAGCTGCCATTTAACACCCTTTGGTTTCCTTCTCCTAGGATTAGTTGAAGTCGTTTTCCTACGCGAACAAACTAGATTCGCTTTAGATTTCAAGTTCGAATTAGAAACCAGTGTTGAAATTAGGGCAAATTTTGTGAATAGGATACTCAGAAATTAAGTTCACCGGGCTGCATTCCTTCAAGTCAGATCGCGAAGTACATTTGAATGAATTTGAACTCGAATATATTAGACAAACGGAAATTTCTGTTCGCTCCGGATGCAACGAGATTCAACAAGTATACGCGTATTCATTTGACGCAAAGTTGCCTCTCCCTATTAATAACTGAACGTATAAATGCTGACCCAGCAAATGGTCCCTAAAACGAAGATTTTTTAGGTTAGCATTAAGGGAGAAGTGATCGAGTGCCCAAAGCTCTTGATAAAGTTCATTTACGTCATTGTATTTTGTATGAAGTTCAACAAGAGGAATTTATGGAAAATCTGTCGAACTATCCTATAAGCTATCTTCTAGATGTTTTTTTTTTATCGACAAGGATACTGTCAAGATCATGCTAAACCAAACTTGTGTTTTAACAAAGACGGGGATGGCAGAAAGGCTCGACTCATGTCAACAAAACATTTCGGACCCTATTCGGAAACTAGGAGTTTGCTTTATTCAAAAAATGGACAAAACTTTCCGATAGACCTATCATCTTAAAAAAAAAGTCTACTTTCTCCTAACTCTTCTAGAGTTTGTTTTAACGGAACAGTGGATGCCAACAGCCAAGCAGCCGACATAATAGAGAGGCGAAATTGACTTAAAATCCTCTTCTGTGTGAAAAATTGTGTATATTTTATTGAACACATGAGAATAAGATTGATTTGTAAATACTACCTTTAAATGGGCTTATACTAAGCCCAGGCTTATCTTATAATTCGTGCAACTTATTTCTCATGATTAGCGATAAATTAAAAAAAAAAAAAAAAAATACTTTTAATCTCACCTTTAATCCTTTTGTTATTTAATTTTTAACAATACGACGTTAGCCATGATGAGGAGGAGGAAGAAGAACCTATAGAATTGCGCGATAAAGGCTTCAAATCGGTGCAGCCTATCTTAGATGAATTAATTAAAACGGAAGAGACATATGTGGAAAATCTCTGGCTGGGTATTAACAATTATGGTAACGTATTTAAGCGTAAAGATTTGCCAGTTGGATTAAGGGGCAAAAAATATGTCCTGTTGGGCAACGTGGAACATTTGGCTGAATTTCATCGTGACGAATTTCTACCTATGCTCAAACGGAATCGTCATGACTTAAAAAGAATATTCGAAGAATTTATTGAATTCATAGAGGTGAGAAGCGGCTGCGTGGAATATATTTAAATATTATTTTTGTTTGTTTTGTTTTTTTTTTTTTTTTTTAGCAAAATTGCTTTTATGGCTATGTACTGTTCACCATGAACAAGAAGCGTTCGTTAAAGCTGTGTGATACATATAAAAACTACTTTAAGGTGAACTTTTAAAATTTTTTCAAATTTTTGTCAAATTTTTAATCGATAATGTGCTTGGAAATATTGAAACAGATGATACAAACTGAATTGGATGATAAATTGGGTATTAATAGCTTTCTAGTACAACCGATACAGCGTATGGCTCGTTATCCATTATTGCTGCAACAATTTATAACGGTAGACGAATTAAATGAAAATTCTTTATTTCATTTGAATTAATTTGTTTTTTTTTTTTTTCGATCATTTCAGACCTTATTTAAAAATTGTGATTATGGCATGAAACCGGTTATAGAGAGCTGTTGCCGTTTAGAGAAAAAGTTCCGTAACCTTCTCGTTACCACAAATGAATCAGAGATAATTAACGATATTGTTTGCTTAAATGAAAGTACAGAGGTGTAGTTCTTCATTTCATTTCTTATTTACTTGAAATTTTTCAATTTTATCTCTTTTTCTTGTTTTTTTGTTCCCATTAACAGTTCAATACTTTTTATCAAGGAAAATTTCGTAAAGTTAGTGAATTTCAAGTGTATGATCATTCATTGAAACGTAGTTATCGTTCGAAAGTTTTCATATTTGATAAGTGTATCGTTTATACGGAAATCAAGGGTAAACAATTGATTTTTCATGGACGTTACCCTTGTGAGCATATTGGCATAATAACTAAGACGAAATCTTTCACTCTATACTACGATCAACGTAAGCAACAGGAATGTGATTTTATTGCTGATCCTATACTTATTGAAACTTGGCTGGAGTTAATACGTGAAATGATTGCATCGTATGCTGAAGAAGAGCGTCGAAAACTTAAGGAGTTACATTCACATGACCATGGCGAGCATATATATCGTAAACCGGCTAATTTATCTCTATTTCGAGATTCAAATCGATTCAGCTCTGACAGTGGTATCGGAAATATATGGGCCTTGCCTAAGCCAGAACACGAAGAAGCTGTCAACAATCGTACAACATGGTATGCGGTGACGTGAACAATTGTTTCTGCCCCCCCACAAAAAAAAAAAAAAAAAAAAAATTACAGTACTTTTCTTACTATAGGGTCAGTCACTGATTGCACGCAAAGTAATACCAAGAAATGAGTTGAGTTTGTTTGAAATAAAAATCCAATGTAAACATAAATAAATGAAAACAATAAAAGCTCCAACATAATATAAATAAATCAAAAAACAAATTATAAAGAGAAGTAATATTGCAGTAAATATTTTCATCTATGACTTCATATTTTTACTTATATACCTGTAGAGAGTTTTACAACTTCATAGATGGGCGCATACGAATTTGATTACAAATCTTGTATTCACCCTATATTTATGGTCAATGTCTTTGGTGAGTCCGTGCATTTGTCTGTCAATACTATAAATAAGAACAAGCACGAATGATTTAAATTTGGTCCACCTAACTTTTATGTCAAATTACTTTCATGAATAAATTGTTATCGTGGAAGATTAGTAATTAGGCTTTTTTTCGCATATAAAGATTCGGTGTTCGCAGGAGGGGGTTCAAAAAAGTACACCCACCCACCCAAAATTTTCACATCAATTTGGAATATCGAGATACTATTACCTAGCGACTTTTGTAATTTTTTTTGCGTATCACGGCCTTTCAAAATAGTGTCTTAGATGGGGAGTGGTCGAAAAAGTAGACCTATTTGAAATATTTTCGATAGTGTTCGTCCTAGAAAATTGGGACCTGTAGCTTCAACAAAAAATACATCGACAGATAATAGGTGGACAGACAAGCCTAGATGGATTCGGGAAATTATATAATAACAGACGTGGCTATATTTAGCATTCGTGGGTGTTACATATGTCCGCACAAAATTACTACGCCATGCATCACAAGTGGTGTAGGATATAAAACACCTACTGTAGCCAGTAAATAAATCAGGAGGGACGATTGTTTTCGATAAAATTTGAACTTCGACTACATATCGATCGATTTTGATCTACATATACGCCAAGATCATCTAAGATTTCAGCGAGATCAATTTTTAATTGTAATGAAAAGGAAATTTCATCTCACCGAGCTAGTTGGCTTAGCTTGAGTACAAGCACAGTAGATATAATAGATTTGTTTATATCCCGTAATCGTAAACAGGAACTTCGAATCGATGCGCCAACCATCTCAAAATTTCCTTCATAAGAATGAACTTGAACTACAATCTTTTTTAATCATCTTGCTCAAACTAAGTTTTTATACCTTACACCACTTATGGTAGAAGCTTGTATTAAGTTTGTGCGGATTGGGTACAACAACCGAAAGGATTTGAGAGAGACCCTCTTTTACCTTTTATTACACAGAATCAGTTCAAACTAATATATATTAACAGTCGAGTTCAATAGACTTTTACAAGCAAATCTTATTTTTTTGTTAAAACCAAGTGTAAAGTATATAAGGAGATCTAAAAAAATAATACAATAAGAAAGAAAAAAAAGAAAAAAGCACGGCTAGCACAGAGGTAACTCCCAACCGGTAAAGATCCAAGTTGCAACTTAACCCCGAAACCAATGGCAACATTCAAAAGGAAGAAAGGAAGGAAGGATGAAAGAACACACCAAGAATGTTGGCAACCTATTTTCATAAGGAGGAAGAGAGACCAGCAGGTCTAAACTCAAAATCCTAAGGGCAAACAGCAACAATTGCTTTATTGCACCTATAGAAGAAGATGATCACACAACAGAGCCATACTCAAGTATTGGTCGAATTAAGCACATGTGCAGCCTTTTTGTAATGTAAGCATCCTTCAACCCTTTAGACCAAATTAAATAATAAAGAATTAAAGATTATAACTTTTTCTATTATTTAACCGAAAAATTTTACATTTACATGAGTTGGAATATCGTGTACTTTTTCAATAATTTATGAAATGTTTGTCGAATTTTATGCAATGCAAACGAATTAATTAATTTTGGTCTACAGTTTAAATAGATAGTCGATGTATCGTTTAATCCCTAACAAACAAAAGCTGTGGGTGTGAGCAACCAATTCGAAGGCAAATATAATTTATTTAATCGTTTTTATGGAGTTTACTCCAGCTGCAAACTACTCGCTATTCTCATAAATTTTTCGATTAAGAGACGACGGCGCTTGTAATGCACTTGAATATGTTCTCCACATATTTATAATTTTGATATCACTATTTATAATGTGACATCATGCACAAACTATTAATTATGTTGTTACGAGCAAATTCATCACATACATATAACTGTTTAAATATTAAAATAAATTGACAAAAAATCGCACTCTCCACTCTCTACTCTCCTTGAATTGCGCTGATCATTGTGTTACCACGACAAATAATAATAGCGAGCTGGTATTGCTTTATATCAATTGTATTATCAAATGTATACAGATGTGTGTGTAGACATATGTGTATAGATAGAAAGATAGATAGCTTGTGATAAAAAATACAAAAAAAAAAAAAGAAAATATTCTCACTTAATTTAATGCTTCTCATTAAATTATGCCAACGAATATTTCTTTTTCAGTTACTTACGCTCTAAGCTAATATTTTTTGGATTTTTTTTCAGGGTTGCCAAATTGTTTAGTCTGTTTGGCATTTTCCCGATTTTTTTTTTTTTTTCAAAGTTTAAAGGAAAATGGCCGAATAAATAAAATGTATAAATTTTATACTATTATTACATGTTTGCGCTCATTTTGATCGGCGACTTCTACAGGTAAAAATTATACAGAAATGGGAAATACCAGTGTGCATAACGAGTAGATTCGAGAATTTAGACCGTAGCCTACTTAACAGCTTTCAATTTAATATTATTGATTTATTCACCTAATCATGGAGCGCTCAAAATTTTCTAGTTTCTTTACATTTGTTGTTTAATGTGAAGAAATCTGTTGCCGAAGCAGACAGGTTCAGGAGCTTATGGTGATGCTGTACCGTCATATCCCAATTGCCACGTTTTGGCTTCAACGGTTTGACAATAGTGATTTTAATGTCGATGGCAAAGAACGGCCCGGAGGACCAAAGGAGTTCAAAGGCAAGACAAATTAGGCGAAACCCCAGCTCAAACGCTCAAAGAGCTTTAGAACAGTTTAGCATTTACTGAATCGACAGTTTTTACACGTTTACAGGCGACGGGAACGATTCAAAAGAAGGTAAAATGGCTACCTCGCCATTGTGGCCACTTGTTGCTCGATTGGGAATTTTTACCATTTCCAGTGCACTCACCCGAGATGCCTCATTCCGTGAAGTTGAAGAAGTGCGAAAATGGATCGATGATTGAATCGCGGAGACAAGCTTTTTCGATGCGATATCGTTATGTTGCTAGAAATATGGTAAAAAAGCTGGAGAAAATGATGGAAAATATTTCGATCAATGTATAGCCCACCAATTGTTCTCAATAAATGCCTTTTTTAAGTCGAAAAGCTATCAAAATTAAGGCAACCATATATTATTATTATTTTTGCAATTGATTTAGGCCAAAGCAATAAATTCTAGGACTAAAGGTAGACTGAACACTAGCGACTAAGACCATAGTCTCTTTTTTTTTAAGGAACAGATTGAATGTAAATTTTTCTTTTGCTGATATTAAGATCTTCAGTCTTTGAGTCTTCGAAAGAGTCTTGGCATTCACAAAGTTTATCTTTAATAGTAAAATTTTGTGCACAATTGCTAATAGGAGGAGCGGTCTTTTTAATGGTCTATTGAAGTGTTGAAAGAGTACGACCAAGAGCGAATTCTTGCAAATGTTTTGATGCTGATTTTTTCAAGATTAATTGGAAGTAGTGCTTAGAGATCGAAATTGTCGTACTATCGGGATGGTAGCACAGTCGATTTTTCTTTAAAATTTTCTTTCTAACCTATTGAAAGTCAATTTTCGCCAGTGGGCCGTCAATTAACTAAATGTGTCGAAGCAGCTAGCTGATATATCTAAAGTTTAGAGCTTAAAACTAGAGTACCTAAGACTTCTGTCTCTTAAATAGGAAGGGAATGTGGAGCTAGCTGTAAGAGAAATGGAAGTTTATTTATTCCAGGGCCATTTTTTTTTTTTATTTAAGTAAAATTTTAGATTTTTCTGTAAGTGATCTGTTCTATTCTATTAGGTACTTTTCCTAGAGGGAGAGAGAGAGTTAGAGGTCGTATGAAAGCATTTTAGCATTTAGCTTTGAACAGAGTTGAAGTGTAAAAACGCAAAAGATGCAGAATCTATTTGGAGGTCAAAGCCGGGAATTGTATAAAACACGATGTTAATTATCTCCTATTATTAGACTTATTTCGCGCGTAGAGACAAAGGTTCACCTTATACAACACAATATTCTAAATATATATTTGAATATTATGTGTTAATATCCATTACCCTTCTACCCCTTTAATAGTTTAAGCATTATATATATCCTACGTAAACTATTTATGAACTAAACGATCTTTTCAATTATAAATTATGACCAGCTATGGTAATCAAATCGTTGAAATGATGAGAAAAAGCGCTAAATTGATATTACTGACTCTCAGACAATAAACTCTCATGTGACTGACTGATTGCTTTATGAACATGTGAAAAGAAACGCTTTCACAAATATTTAAATATAATTAAAACGATCAGTTCAGTATGTAAAAGCCGATAAATCGATTGTGAACAGCGGGTGCTTAAATATAATAAAGATAAAATAAAAAAAAAAAATGTGCAAACAATTGAAAATTCAATTATAAAATGACACAATATATGCCTTCGCGCTGCGTTAAATAGTTTTGCTTAAATAATGAGAAAATATTTATAACGAAAATAATGTTTTTTTTTTTTTTATTTTATTTTTAAAGTTATATAACACACACAATAACTGAAAACCGCAAAAAGAATGTTGGAATTAATGGCCTTAAATTGGTTTGATTTAACCACAATAGGGCTAAGTTTTTTTACAATAATAACGGTACAAATAATTAATTCTATATACGGTTTAACTACAGTTGCAACAACAGCAATAACAAATCGCAATAAATTATCAAAACAAATAAGTGAACAAAATAAAAAGTAGGCAAGATTTCAAAAAAAAAAAAGAAAAAAAAAAATATATATATAAAAAAAAAAAAAAATAAAAAAAAAAAAAAAATTGCATGAGCTTTTTTCATTTCCTTTTTTTTTCATCACTTTTTATCTTTAAATAATATTTTGATTTGTTGCTTTAATTTTGATAAAAATTCTTCTTAAATTTATTATTAATGAAGTGTTTCAAGCGCTGAGACAACATCTATTAGTGTTTCGTCAACGTCATTATCATCATCATCGCTATCAACAACTTCATCCCCTTTAACAAATCGCCATTCGATAAGTTGCATTATAAGCAGCAACAAAGATTCCTACATTCCCCATACGTCCGGTTTATTCGATACGCTTAGCGATGAATAGTAAGTTTGCTCTTCTCTTTTTCCCTTTTATTTATCACTTTTTCCTTATTTTATGAATGAAGTATGTATATAGGTTATCATCATAGAATTTTTGAATCTATTATATATCATATATCAAATATATTGAAAAATATTTTTGATTGTTTTAACCAGTCACGAAGATGAAGACACTTTATCATTGGAGAATTTATTTCCTGGCGATCAGACAGCGATTTATGAATCGAAGCGAATCAGTTACATTATTGATGAGTTAATCGAAACTGAAGGCAATTATGTAAAAAATTTGAAAAAAGGCTTACAGCACTACGGATCACTGCAAAAGCATGAAAGTCTACCCATTGGCTTGAAAGGTGCCGATAAGCAAGAAAAGCTTTTGGGTAATGTAGAGGAAATCATGATCTTGCATGAAAAATATATATATCCGATAATGCAACGCAATCGAAACAATTTGAAAAATATGTTTGACGAGATATCAGAACACATTGAGGTAAGTGCGAATGCAAACAAATAAGAAAATTATATTCGGTCGTGACAGAATCTTTTATACCCATCAAGATTGTTCTGAACAAAAAAAAAAAAAGAACAAAATTTTCATGCTCCACAATACGGATGAGGCGCGGCATATTTTTTCTAATTTCAAAATAAAAGTTTTTGTCGCATAGTTGTGTGGACGTTTCCAATTCTTTTTTTCAGATTTCTAAGCGATATCTCCATTTTAGCTAACGGGAGAATCTCTTGATATAGTTTCGTAAATAAGCCAGCGGTAAACCATTCAATACCCTACACTGCATTGTCCAGCACAATTTTTATTATTTTCTGAACTTACTATTGTGGGTCAATTTCCATCATCACATATTCAAACGTACACTTTCCTCCCTATAAAGGATTAATTTTGAATTACTATTATGATCTTTTTCGTCATGAAGCATTGAAAATTATATATTTTTGTCATACGAACATCAGTTTTCAATGTGGGAGATTGGGTTCAAAAATTACCTCAAACGCTCCAAAGTATTCATACCAATTTATTATATCGAGATACTACTACTTAACCACTTTTGACGAGAAACTTTGAAAATTACATTTTTTTTATTTATATGAGGAGCCGTAGAAGAAGTGGATCGATCCGAAGCGTTTTCAATAGCGTTTAATTTAGGTTAAAACACGTCACTGTACGTAATTTCATCAAAATATCTCGAACATTGCGACCTGTAGCTTGAACACAAATTTACATGGACAGGCATCGGACGGACAGACGGACAGACATGCTTAGATTAATTCCGATTATGATTCCGAATCGATCGGTGTAATAGAAGGTGGGTCTATCTTAAAACCTTCTGCGTGTTACATACATCCTCATGAACTTAGCACCCCCCGCATCATACGATTTGTAGGGTATAAATAGCAAAATCGTCATGTCCGGCGTTAGTTTTTCTGTTAATAGAGTAAACGTGCGATTACATACCGTTTTTCACACTATTGAAGCGTTTCGCAAAAATATTTCGCAACGGATCTGCTGAAGTATTCCGCAGTAAAGTAAGAAGAAATTAAGAGCAGCATTATTTTTATTCTCTCGATTTTTTCTATTCAAGCTTGTCTTGGCGATTTGATTCCTTGCTAATTCTCTGTAGTCCGTCCATTAGCTATTCTTCGATTCAAATGAAAATGGAGCAAAGCAAGAGAAAGACGATCGGCCATCAATAATTGATATCAGATAAGCAATAAATTCAAATAACATCTGATACATATGTCACTATAAACATATAATTGCTTGCATTATATTTCCCATAATCAGTTTGCGTAATAGTTACAAGCAAATGTATAAATAGATTGCGAAACACTTTCACAATGGCTTAGCGCTTTTTTACAAAACGTCAACACAGCACTGTAGCAGAGTCGTAGCCTTACTACAGTCTTAATTCAGTCCTCTTAGCCTATAACGACTTAGATTACAATATTGATCTACATGAGTTTGATGTGACTCACACTTGAATGTGCCTCGGTCGTGTGGTCTCTTTGTAAGTGTTATGTTGATCCCATACAATCGCTTTAAAAGTCTTTTTATTTTTTCGTCCTTGGAAATTTCAGGTGGAATTCGTCATCGTATGAAAATAGATTGCTACTTTCAGTCGTACCTTCACTGGAGAAGCTTAGGGCTATTCGAGATGTTGCAGTCTTAGTTAAGTTAATAAATGGTATAATTGACTCCCCGGTCTTATTAGGGAAGGTTCATATGAATGTTCCCAACCGTTCTTGTAGAAATTTTATTTTCATCCTCCTCAAAAATCCAAATGATATCTATATTTCAATTTTATCGGATTCTTAAAATATTATCAAGTCAACTTTCCTTAATATATGTGTCTTGACTATGTCGTATCTAAATTAACATCTAAGCTTCGTAAGATTCGTAAAGTAAGCTAAATATTGGATCGCTTGCCAAGCTTGCTAGCTTTTGTTCACGCCGAGCATATAGATCCATGCTTCGCTAGGCTTGGCTGTGAGTGTGTCGCTATACGGTAAGTGTACATGCGCTTCTTTTCAATTGCAGGTGTCAATGATTAGATAAATAAATAAACTGCGAAATTTTTCTTTCTCAAAATTACTCAACTAACACGATAGTAAGAAAGCTTTTTAATCGTCACGCTAAATGATGCAACTTAGCGTAACGTAATGCATTATATGAAAATTCCCATTCAACTTTGTGAATAATCGGTACTTAAGGTCTACCTCTAAGGTTTCTTCTCATGTTTTATTTTCAAAAGCCAAAAAAAAAAAAAAAAAAAAAGAAGAAAAAAAAGCTAACACGCACCCATATTAATTTTTGCATTGAAACTCGGGTTTTTTTTTGTCTCTACTCAGAAAAGCTGTTGTTTTAATAACATTTGTGTTATCTTTTTAAGAAAACAATTCACGTAGTAAGAGCTTGCTGTGAAAACTAAATACTTCAAGAGACCCCTGTATGCGCGATATACGTTTACAATATCTTTACTGTATTTATGATAAGAAATATTAATAGGTTTAATGAGACAAAGTATAGCGAAATATGTGTACAGCAAGCACATTGAAATAAAAGTGAAAGTCTAATAAACTTTGGATTATCGCTCACTTATTGTAACAGCGAATTAATAAATAGCAGCCGGTGTTTCTTGAGAAGAAGAAGAAGAAATTAAGAACTTTGCAACTTTAATATTAAAATTAAATTATTTCTGCCTTAGTTCATAATGTATGTTGCATGTCCTAACTCATTGTTATCTTATCAGAGTTTATATAGATATATAATAATAGGCATGGATATGCGTAAAATACATATGTGTATAATAACTATGTGCATTATATTGTAAGAGTGATACTTCTCGTAAGTAAAAAGTTATTATTCATTAGGTGTCAAAAAAATGTCAAGAATTATTAAAGCAAAAAACATATATGATTTATTATTATTATTATTACTATTATTATAAATTTAGCCAGAGAATAAATTCCAAGACTAAGTCTTAAAGCACTAGCATCTAAGGCTTTCGGCTTTTATTAAAAACTCTACCGCACTTGAGATTTGAACGCACGATCATTGAATTGCTAGTCGAAACTCTTTGCCTACTCGACTACTCAGACGGATCATATATGATTTAACTTTTAATCAACAGCTATATAATAGAAATAGGCTTTCGCCCTAAGCCGGTTGTTAAAATAAAAATATATGCCGAAACTTTTGATCAATTGATTGGACGAAGGGATACCACGACGTTTTTAAGACCTGAGAAGGTTTAGAGTTCCTCATTGCTTTGTCCTTGCAGCAACAGAGATGCTCGCCTTGAGAGTCTATGTCACTTCTGCGTTATTTACCTGAGCAGCTTTATTGCGACGAATTCGTCGTTATATATCGTTGCTAGGGTTTTACACCCATGACATGTGAAAAAACACGTGGCAACTAACCTCGCCAAGATAGTAGGAAGTTCTCGCCTAACCGTAGGCAAGATTCAACTATAACTTACCTTCATTTAATCTTGAAGGAATATATGGTGATTTTCAAAACCTGGTCCATTCAAGGTAATGTTTAACTTACCTACAAACGTTTTCTTTTATGGCCATCTTTGAGAGGCATTTTAAATTCTATTCTTGGATTTTGTATTAGAAAAAGCAAAGGTTATGAAGAGTTATGAAGGTCGGTCTTGGACGGTCACTTTAGTTAAAAGTTTGTCGGAAGGCTCTTTGATAATAACATTGCCAGATTGTTGTGCCAGAATTAATTTTTCTGCAATGTCAAATACTTTCCTTTTTCGGTCGTAATTGCAAAAAACAGTGTAAAGGATTACTTGGAATTAAAGAAATTCGTGCCCTTAAATGACGACCACAACCCACAGAAATCAAGCCCATGTCAACAGTATTTTTATCTTATGTATACGAACGAAAGTGCAGCATTCATCATGAGCCGAGATTTAAAATGATATGTGATCTTTTCTAAATGGCATCTTAAATACGGAGCCGATTGTTCGCTCATTCACGCCTCCTTTAAATTGTCAAAGTTCGAAGTTCGCTCATTTACTTTTTCTTTAAATTGCCAGAATTCGAAGTTCGCTCATTCACTTCTCCTTTTA